AATCTCCTGAGAGTCTATAACCAAGAGCCTGGGTCTCCTGTTTTCTCATTCGTGTTATTTCAGGGCTGTAGGGGCCATGACTGTGAAGCAGCATGGGTCCTTGTATAATTAGCCACAACATTCAAGGTTTTCCCTGCGCTAGGAAGGCTAGCCCTTCTCTCCATTAGACAATAGTGAACTACTCACTGAAACCACAGCTCAAAGGTCACTTCCATGAAGCCTTCCTGGAATTCCCCCAGGCCCAGTTTGGCATTCTTCTGGTGCTCTTCAAGATGATGGTGTGGGCTACAGGTTAGGCTCTTAGGCTCTTGAGCTACATTGCCTGGATCTAGAAGCCTGGTTCAGCCACTTTGTAGCTGTGTGACTTTGGGCAAGTGTTTTAACCTCTGTGCCTCAGTTTTCCCAGCTGTAAAATGAGGATTAAAAATAATACCTTCCACATGGGCCTGTTGTGAGAATTAAACGAGTTTTACTTGTTTTTAAAAGCGGCTGGCCTCAGAGCAGCATTATTCACAATAGCCAAAAGGTGGAAACAATCTAGGTGTCCATTGATGAATGGATAAACAAAATGTGGTACATACATACAGTGGAATATTATTCAGCCTTAAAAAGGAAGGAAATTCTGACACATGCTACAAGATGAAAGAACCTTGAGAACATTAGGCTAAGTGAAATAAGCCAGTCACAAAAGACAAATACTGAATGATACCCCTCATATGAGATACCTAGAGTAGTCAAATTCATAGAGACAGAAAGTAGAATGATGGTTGCCAGGGGCTGAGGGAGAGAGGAATGGGAAGTTGTGTTTTAATGGGTATAGAGTTTCAGTTTGGGAAGTTGAAAAGTGTTTTGTGGATGGATGGTGGTAATGATTGCACCACAATCTGAATGTACTTAATACCACTGAACTGTACACTTGAAATGGTTAAGATGGTAAATTTTATGTTATGTTAAAAACAAAAAAATTTTTTTAAGTGGCTGGCACTTTATAAGTGCTCTCAGGGCGCTAGCTATTAATATCAGGTCAAGATCTATGTGTTTGTTACTTATCCCTCTCCTCCAGGGTGGGGAACTGAAGAGTTCAACCCTGGCATCGTGAGCACCCCAAAAAGGGCAGGGAGGGCCGAGTCTGCAGAACTCGTGCAGAGCATCTTGCAGGGATAGACAGAGTTGTAGGCGGAGGAGGGCATAAGACAAGGCAGGGAAGAGCCCAAATGGAAACTGCCCCCAAGGAGAGGTGGCAAGGCACAAAATTTGCCCCAGGATGAGCCTGGTGAGTGCACGTAAGACAGACAGACAGAGTTCACAGCACCGGGAGGGTCCAAGGAGAGCTGGGAGCCCCTTCCTCCTCAGGGCTTGGGGAGGGGGGCCTGCACCCGTCATGCTGGACACGCCCTCTCTCCATCGTCCCACACTGGTGTCTGAGCAGCAGCTGTCATGTGGAGGATAAAGCGGACTAGAAATGGGGCTGGGAGAGAGGGGAGACTGAGTCACTGACTTCTAAGAACAGGCCCTCACCCAGCTCCCAGCAGATCCCACCAAGGAACACGTCAAAGAGGCCTGAGGCCTTAGGTTAGGTGTAGAGGGATCCCTCTCGTGTCCAGCTGAGTCCCAGCGGGGCCCACTAGGCCATGCACAGTTGTCCATGAACATGCTCTACTTGGGGATGAGGGTGCTGCCTCCAATCCAGGGGAGCTTATATTGTGGGGACAACTCATCCACCAGAAGGCTCATGTGTTGACCGAGCAGTCTCCTGCTTTCTTGTTCCTGCCAGGCCCATGGCTCTCCTGAAGCTGCCATGGAGAACTAAATGGTGGAGGCAAAGGGCTCCAGACAACCAGGTTTGCAGTAAAGGATCAAGGCTGGGGCCAGCTCTGCTTAACGCAAAAAGAACGTGGCAGAGGCTGGCTGCTGGCTAACCTATCCCCTGCCAACCTACTTCTTCCCTGCCTGCCTCCACTATAGAGCCTAGAAAAGTGGTATACTTCCTTCCCCGGCCTACCTTGGAGCTAGTGGAGGCCCACATGACACACTGGAGTTTGCTAGAATGCTTCTGCAGTGGCTTTTGCTTTCCTCATAAGAGGGCCAGAGATCACTGATGAAGTCTCCTTTTCCTCCACTTCCCTGCCTTGAACCTAGGCATGATGCCTGGAGCCGTAGCAGCCATCTTGTAACTAAGGAAAGACAAAATTAATCACAGAGATGCTAGCTCGATTACCACTGAGTCACTGAACCAATATCTCATGCCGTTATATGAGAAGTTAAAGAAAAAAATTGGTGAAGCCACCACAGTTGGGTTTTGTACTGTTTGCACTCCTGATATAGCAGGAGACCTAACCCATCACCTTAGGTAGGTCACAGTTTAGTAAATTACTACACAAAAGGAGTCTTGGCCCACAAGTCCACCTCCCCTGCCCCCAAAATGGACGGTTCATTTCTCTGGCTACATGTAATGGCGCTTTCTTCTCTAAAGACCCATTCCCTCCAGCCTCAACAGCATATCCCAGGTTCTACCCACTGGTTAGGGCAAATGTTTTATTAAAGCATGTGGAGAGTACCAGTTATTTTCAGGTGGACAATAGCAGGTACATAGCACAGTCACTCAGTTCGGCATGGCCCAGTCTGATGAGCTAGACAGCCTGCACAAGCTCCTGTGGATTTCCCTCACACCCTTGCCCACCCTCTTCCCAAGGCAGCCAGCAGCTCTGCGTGCTGGGCTGCCCAAGGGACGAGGCCCCTGGTTTGCATGCTCCATGTCTTTTCCTGTGTTTGGCTAAATCGCACTGTACAGGAGGTCCTGACGCTGTAAGCAGGACACGCTTGTAGCTTCCTCTCCTCAGCAATCTTTTCTCCTGGCACTGTCTGTCCTCCCCTTGCAGAAACCATCCGCTTTTTGGCTGCCTCCGCAGAAACTTCTTGTGTGCTCAAAACATCCTGGTTGCCAAAGTCCATTTTCTCTCCTGGACCTCATTTCGGCCCCTACCCCACCCTGTTCCTGGACACATGTTCACAGTCTTCATGTCTGCTGGGTGCCCCACCCCGCTCTGCCTGTTGATCATTGCACCATGAGCATGTCTAAAACCTACTGTCGACATAAAATAATCCATAATCAATCTATAAATCAAAATTGGGGTGAGTTTATTAGGAGGCAACTTTTGAGGACCATGTCCCGGGGCCTTCCTTCCCTAAGGAAGGATGGGCACCAAAGAAGTGGGGTGTACAGAGTAGTTATATACTGTCAAAGAGCATGTATCACATATGATTGTAATGTCCCTTTTACAATAGCCACAAGATTGTCCTGCCAGAATAGCTATTGATAGACACAGTGGGGAGCAGTTCTGCTGTCTCGATGGGCATGGCTGGTGTCAGGTCTGTGGTCTCGAGCTCGGTGGTCACAGCATGAGTGCAGCAATCAAATCCTAGCCTAGGGAGAAATGGTTATCCTTAAGGAAATGTCAATGTGGAGGAAGTTGCATCCTTATCTTAAGGGCATTTACTCTTCTCTTTGGGACATGGCAAAGCAGATACACGATGCATGTTTAAAGGTGACAGCCCCTGTTGGAAAAACAAACTCAGGCCGAATTAGTTTTACCCCAAATGGCTTCCTCATATGCTCCAATATATCCTGTTGCTTGCCATTTATTTATCACTACTCATATAGGATGCCTCTCCAGACAAGTCCAGAGATGGTCAGACAGACACACATTTGGGGAATAGCTGGGGTCTGTAAGTTCCCTGGAGTAGAGTGTAACCTGGGAAGTGAAGTTCTGCCAGTAAGACTGCTGTTGCTGACCAAGCCTGTGCTTGGAGACATCCAAGGGGAAGAGGGGCTTCGGTGCCCTTCTGAACCTGTGGCGACACCTAGTGGATTGGACGGTACACTGGACCAGAAGTTGGGAAACCTGGTTCTCGCTCCAAATCTGTCGCCAGCTTGCTGTGTGTCTTTGGGCAAGTCCCTTCCCTCTCTGGACCTCAGCTTCCTGGACTACAGCCCAAAGGGATTGGACTACATAATTTCAAAGGGCTGTTCCAACTCTCCTCTGGGGAAATAATGTCAATAGTCATTTGTGCAAAACCTTTTACTTTTCCAAGCACTTTCACATCAATGATGTCCTGCTCCTAGAACTTTCTTGTAGGTTATTCGATTAGGTCCCATTTCCCCGACTTCACAGAAAGGAAACAGGAGGCCCAGAGAAGGGAAAAGACACTCAAGGTCACCCAGACAATCAGCAGGGCTGAGACTACAATCCAGGTCTTCTGACTCTTAACAGGGTTGCTGTGTCTGGCTTTGCTGGGTGTACCCCACACAAAGATATAGGTGGGGGAAAAGGAGGCTAAAAGGTGCTCAGGGGTGGGACCAATTAGCCTTAAGAAAAGGGCACCTTTTTCTAATTGGTCAGCCACTTTGTTCTCGTAGTCCCTCCAGAGGAAGAGGGAACACCTCTCCTCAATTAATCAGCCCAGAGGGCACCTTTCTGCAATTTGTCCATCTGTAGGAGTGACTTTTCCTAATTGGCACAAAGGCACCTGATGTGCTAGCAACAGGCCTGGCTCCCAGACTGCACCTCTTCCCCCTCAGGGCTGGATGACCAGGTCTGGCATAGGGCCGCCAGATGAAATACAGGACACCCAGTTAAATTTGAATTCCAGATAAACAATTAATACTTGTTTTGGATAAGTATGTCCTGTGCAATTTTGGGGACACACTTAGCCTAAAAGAAATGTATTTTGTTCATCTGAAATTCAATTAACTGGGCATCCTGTATTTTTATTTGATAAATCTGCCAACTCTCGTCTGGAGGCAGTGGTTTGCTCAAGCTGACTCACATCAGCTTGTGAGAGCCAAGTGTTAAATTTTTAGGAATTTTGTAAGCCAGTTGTTAAACCACTGGGCGCTTGAAATCAACTGTGGTGGGAGTATCTACACCATGGAAACTGGCAATCACCACAAATCATCTATCCCTCCACTTTTTTTTTTTTTTTTTTGCTTTGCTTCTTTTAGAGCTGATTGTGAAACATTTACCAATACTCCACTGTCTAGAGGCTTCTTTGTCTTAAATATAATGGGTAAAGACTCTGAAACTATGTCCCTGAGTACTCTACCGTTGCATGGGAGTCAGGTAGCCTCTGAGGGTAGCTGTCAGGCTTAGTATATTAGAAAATGGAATATTCCACTTGTGTGATCCTAGAACTAGGTATGTTGGAAAATTAGGATTCTAAAACAAGGATGTTAGAATCTCAGAATTTCAGAAGATGGAATATTAGTGTTGAAAGCAGGGGCTGTTAGACACTACCTATTCCTAACCCCTCTCTAGAGTGTAGATGGGCTGAGGCCTCTGAGCCTGGCCCGATCTCTGGCTGGCCCTCTTGGCTCAGGGCCCAGGCCTCTTACGGGCCACGATGAAGCAGACCCCTGCGTTGGCAGCATTGGTGGATGAGTAGCACGTGGGACTGTGCAGGAACTGCTCGATGTCAAAGCCAGCGTCCAGGACAGCCTGCTCCACCTGCTCCTTCTCCAGGGCCACACAGGAGAACTCACGCTTCCCCACCATGTAGGACGTGAGCCGCAGCGTGACCGTGGTCACCAGGTGGCCGCCCGGCTTGAGCAGCGAGGCGAGGTTGCAGAGCGCGGCGCGGTAGGCGTCCAGGCTACAGCAGGCACACTCCATGGCCAGCAGGGTGAGCACGCAGTCGGCGGGGGGCAGCACCACAGGGGCCAGCAGGTTGCCCAGGTTGGCATCGCACTTGAGCACCCGTTTTACCACAGCCTGCACCTTCTCCTCTTTCTCCTGCCACCGGTCACCTCAGAGAGGGCAGGGCTCAGGGAACACACATCAAGGTCCCACGGGGACCTCTCACCCATGACCAGCAGATGGTCAAAGCATTGCTGCCTCAGCTTCCCCAGCAGGAAAATGGTCAGGGAGACGGGCAGATCAATTGTGGGGACCTTCCTCTTTCTGATTCCATGTGGGTCCCCTCCCCTTGATCCCCAGGAGGAACAAGGAGCCCCAAGCATGGACTGAGCATTCAATAAACGTTATTGGATAGATGGATGAATTAATGAATTAGCAACAGATAATTCATGGATGTAGCTATCTTAAAAATATAATACTGAGTGATGAAAAGCAAATCCTAGAAGATAACATACAGCAAATTACTCTGTTATAAAGTTCATAGGTGACTAAAACTAAACAATAGACTATTTACACATACATAAATATGTGACAAAATTATTTTTAAAAAGCAAGGAAATGATAAATATAAAATTCATGTTAGTAATTACCTCAGGTGAGGGGGAAGGCAGGGGGCAAGGAATAGAGGAGAAGCACATATAAGTCTTTATCGTATCTGAATACTCAGGTTGGGTGGTGGGTTCATGCCACTATATGTAATAGAGTCACAACAGGTATAGATGGTAGAGGGAAGAAAGAAAGATGGATGGGTGGATGGATGGATAGATGGATGGATGGAGGGATGAATGATGGACAGATGGATGGGTAGATAGGTAATATAGTCGCAATAGGTATAGACAATAGAGGAAAAAAGGAAAGATAGATAGATAGATAGATAGATAGATAGATAGATAGATAGATAGATAGATAGATGATAGCTAGATAGAGGCAGACAGGCAAGAAGGAAGGAAAGAAGGAGGAAGGAAGGAAGGAGGGAGGGAGAGAAGGAAGGAAGGAAGGAAGGATCCTCCATGTGGTCTTCAGTGGTCATATCTGGCTGTATCCCATCTCAACACAGTCCTGTAATCAGAAACTTGCCCCCAAAAGTGCTGTAATCCTGAAACTTGGGGGCCCATCTACTGTCCCACCCAAAGCATCTGGTCCCATCCTTGATAGACCTACTGTCCTGAAAATGTCAGGGACAACAGAGAGGGCAGAGAGCCCTCTGAGAAGGAGGGTTGCTGTCCAGCCCTCAGGGAACCCCCTCCCCGACCCCTGAGCCCTACCTGTTCCCTTCCAGGTCACAGGCGAGTCTCAGCACCGGGGTCCAGTCGTAGGCCCCTGGCTCCTTTTTCAACCACATTTCCAGCTCCTCCCAGTTGCGGTCAGTGAAGTGGGAGAGAGTGATGTCTCTGAAGGACTCACAGGCGGCAAGCACTTGGCAGATGGTAGGCCCGTGCCGATGTCGATCAGAGTGTCCCCTTGGAGGCCCCCTGTGGGAGGGAGAGAGGTCGCTGAGACTGGTAAGGGGCAGGTGAAAGAAATGAGACCTGAGACAGACACCCTGGTCCCACCCACAGGGGATGCGGCGCCAGCCATGGCCATGATCATGGACATGCCAAGCACCATGCTAAATACTGTATATGCATTAATTTCCATTATCACCTCAGAACTATCCTGTGCAGAAACTACTACTTTTATTTCCCTTTTAAAGATGAGAAAACTGAGTCTGAGAAGGGTTAAACAATTAGCCCAACAGCTTTCAGCCAAGAGTGTAACCACTACCCTCCTGGACAGAGAACAAGAGCCCCAGGCCCTGCTCTGGAGAAGAATCTGAGTGGAGTGTTCAGAGAAGCCACTCTGGGGCAGGACACTTTAGGTTCGGGGCTGACTGGGAGCCTCCCTGGGTGTCCAGCCCTGCCTGGCTGGCTTCCTCTGGGGAGGGCAGGCAGGAAGAGGAAGCCGGGCTTGAGAAGGCGCTGACCTGGGAAGATGGCCCAGGGGTGACTTGAGGTTGCCTGGGAGCTGAACTGAAGTGTGACTTCCAACATTCTGGCTGGAGGGTGGGCTTGGGGCCATCTCTCAGTCTGTGGGGTCACAGCCGCCAGGTGATTCCCTGATTTCTGCCTCCTCAAGCCACCTGCCCCTCCAGGCTCAGCAGTCTCTTAACTCCCTCCTGCCCTCCTCACCAGGAGACTCCCCAATATCCTGTCCCAATCCCTAGTCCAGTACCAGAGTGAGGACACAGTCACAAGAGCCAGGAAGGACACTGCTGGCCCACTATGTCACTATGGGGAGGATAGTTACCACTGGGAGGCAGGCAGATGCTACGAGCCATTTTGCAGATGGTTCACTTGAGGCCCTTGGGGACTGAGGGCTCTGCCAGCAGGTTTTGTGACAGGACTGACCCCACCCAGCACTCTCCACTCCCCGTGTAGGGCTTCTCCAGACCCTCGTGACAGCCACATCCCAACCTGACCACAATCCCACTGTTTGCCCTTGGCCTTCTTGGGGTCTCTGAGGCCTGGCTGTGCAGGGGCTGGGCTGGGTTCGATGACCTTGAGAGCCTTCCCTGCCCCACCCCAAAGATCTGGGAGCTAATGGAGAGTGTTCCTACTCTCCTCACTATATTTACTGGTCCCTGGCCCTGCAAGCAGCTCCGGAGCTATGAGGAGACAGACCCCACCCCCTGCATCACATCTGCCCAAAGAGAGGGGCAGGGCACCCCCAGCTCCCCACCTCAACCCCCGCTCCCTGCAGCCCCTAGGGAAGACCAGGCTTCTTCCCTTATCCCCTATCCAGGGTCCCTGGATATTCTTCCCTGCACGAGGCACCTTCCCTTATCCCCTATCCAGGGTCCCTGGAGAGAGGCTCAAGGGGCCACAGGAGTAAGGTTCCCCCTCTGCTCACCCGGTCCAAAGGTCTTGTGGAGACACTCCAGATTAAACCTGAGCATCTCAGCCTCGAGGGAGGGGCCCCTGTCGAAGCTGTAGTAGGTGGCCAGGTAGTCCCTGGGGAGGAGGTTCTTCTGGTGCTCCTCGCCCCCCGTGAAGCTGCCCTCCATGGGGGCACTGAGTGTGTGCCGTCCTGTCTGCCTGTGTCTTATGAGGGCTCAGGATGCTCCCGACTCCACCCCCAGAATTCCATCCCATCCCCTCACTCTCCCCGTGCCGGCCTCTCCTTGGGCTGCCCTTTCTGGAGAGATGCCCAGGGACCCTCCCTCTGCCCAGCATGCTGACGTACCTTAGCAGAAACTGCTGTAAACCCAGATGCCTGGCAGCTGAGGCTGCAGCAGCCCTGGTCCTGCTTCCTTTAGGGATGGACCCATGTCCATCAGGGATAATCGATGGTGCCCAGTCCCAGGGCCTCCTCTCAACTCTGCCAGCCACGTGCTGCTGTGTGACCTTGGGCAGGTGTCAGACCTCAGTTTCCCCATCTGCATGCCCACCTCGCTGGCTGTAAGAACCAAAGTCACTCCCCTGAGTCACAGGTGCCATGAGCCTGACGGCACAGTGAGGTCCCCATCGGTCCCCTGCTAGTCAGAAGGGCCCAGTGGCTCTCCCCAGGCCAGGCAGTGGGCATCCCAGCCCTTCTGGAGGACATTGTTCAGATCCCTGGGGGCAGAACAGGATGGCTGACCCTGCATCACCGTGCAGGCCACAGTGTGATCAGAAATAGCCACCACTCTCCATGAGTGGGACAAGGGAGCCATATCAAGTGGGACAAGACCTGGCTGTTCCTGCCTCTGTGGAGGCCTCAGTCTCTTGGGGCCTACAGGGTCAGAACTGTTTGTTGACTTAAAGCCAGAACCAAATGCCATACCAAAGCATGAACTGTCAGAGGAGGCCTGGCTTCTTGGCTGCTGCCTCGCCATGTGACCCCGGGTAAGTCAACCCCCCTGGCCTCAGTCTTCTTCCTTTTAGAGTGGGACTGGGTTATAAAACCTCCTACAGAGAATAGCTTGGCTTCCTTTTCTTTCCAGGAAAGAGATCTGACATGGCCACAAACCAGACAGAAATGAATCTGCTACACTGGGGGTGCAGGCCTGCTGCCCTGGAAGTGGGAAGGACAAGAATGTCTTGTTCTGGCTTTAAGTCAACAAACAGTTCTGACCCTGTAGGCCCCAACAGACTGAGGCCTCCACAGAGGCAGGAACAGCCAACAGTCATTCGGGGCCTGGTGTCCAAGGGGTGGGCACAAGGGCAGCCTCCAGGCAGGCCTGGGACTGTGGTGCCAGCCCACAGAAGGCACTCAGAGCAGGCAGGAAGCTGGAGCTCTCACGTTATATAATTTGAGGAGTGTTTAATAAACGGACTGCATTAACAAAGGTGTGGGCAGGGTTGAGGGAAGCCACAAAGGACCTGTGTTAGTCAGGGTTCTCCAGAGAAACATATGTATACCTATGTATATAAATAAAAAGGTTTACATATGTGTGTGTATCTATAAAAGAGGTTTATTTTAAGGAATTGGCTCCCACAGTTATGGAGACGGCAAGTTCAGAATCTGCAGGGTGGACCCAAAATCTGCTGGAGACCCAGGAAGAGCTGAAGCTGCACTTCTGATCTGAAGGCTGTCAGGCTGGAGAACCAGAGAGAGCCAATTCAAGAGCCAGTCCAAATCCACAGGACATCTGCTGGAAGAATTCCCTCTTGCTTGGGGGAAGACAGTCTTTTGTTCTATTCAGGACTTCAACTGATTATATGAGGCCCACCCACATTATGGAGGGCAATCTGCTTACTGAAAGTCCACCAGTTTAAATGTTCGTCTCATCCAAAAACATCCAGGATAATGTTTGGCCACATATCTGGGTGCCATGGCCCAGCTAACTTGACACACAAAATTAGCCATCACAGTGCTCCAGGGCTAGTGCAGGAAGGAGCCATTATCTACCCTAGACCCGAGACAGAGAGCTGTATGGAGAGGGCCTCCTGCAACAACCAACTGCGAAGGAGCTGAAGAATAAATACCCGGACCTCACTCTCCTCCCTCCCTCTGATATCCTGCCAAACCCAGCTGAAATGCAGATGGCAAGAGAACGGATAATATAGTCCACATAGGTCGGCCTCTGGGGGCTCACAGGAGGGTAGAGACGGATCGAGAGTGGTTATTGAGGGACACATGGGAGATGCTAAGCACAGCATCCCATTAATGTTTACAGAATTGAACTGTGGACATCTGTGTACCATCCAGGGGAGACCCAGAGCCCCTGCAGGGGGATGTGGGCATCCAGGGGTCTGCCTGGGCTGGGTAGGAGGGATCATTCTTCCTGAAATCATTCGCCCTGCTGCAATTGGACGTCCTTAGATGGACTGAGGAGGCCATCCCAACTCAGGGCCTCCAGGGCCTCCTGCTGCCCAGAGGAATGAATCCCAATCCCCGTGGTATTCCAGAGCCTCTACCCTCTGGCCTCAAACACCTCTCCCCGAGTTCCTCCCTCTCCATCCCAATACACATGCTGACTCTGGCCTGGCCAGGGGTCTTTGCAGTGCTAGGGTAATCTGCTCAAAGTCTTCTATGGGTATATTCTAAGGAAGGGTTTCTCAACCTCAGCACCACTGCATTTCAAGCCAGATAATTCTCTACCGGGGAAGGGGGGCAGAACTGTGCATGGTAGGACAACCAGCCACATCCCTGGCCTCTACCCACTGGACGCCAGGAGCACCCAATTCCCAGCTGTGACAGCCAACAGTGTCTCCAGACACGACCAGATGTCCCCTGTGAGGCAAAGCTGCCCCTAGTTGACAACCACTGTCCTGAGGTTCGCCTTCATCAATTTGACAGCACTTGGTTCATGCCAGGGTGGTTTCAGACTCTTTGAAGCATGTCTGCACCATCTTAAGCATCTTTCCATATGGCGACTTTTAAATAGCTCAAGGAAATTTCCATTCAAGGGGACTTCTGCCTTAATTTCAAGTAAATGAGTAAATGTCATGCTACCTATGAAGAAAATAAGACCACTTGAGAGTCGGCCAGATGAGAAAAGGATCACTCTCCTTCTCGAGACTAGGAAAACTACCATCTCAGCAGTCCATGCTCTCTGATACCTCTGTTATCTCCTTTCCGCTTGACCCAGTGGAATGAAGAAACAAGTCCAGAAGACCAAAGAGGAACTTGCACATGTAAACATGACTTTTCCCTGATAAGCTGTAAGCAGCCACGCAGAGCCTCTTCTCACGCCAAGCACCAAAATAAAGGCTAAATATCTTTTTAAAAATCAATCACAGAAGCGATCATAATTGAATAGCTATCAAATCTCTGGATAGGGAATGATTTTGGAAGCCTAGATAGAAGAAAGCCCAAAAGGAAAAATATTAACACATTCTATTAGGGAAAAATTAAACAAATATTTGTCCTGAAAAAATTAAAAGGCAAAAAAACATTGTTTTCCTTTTGGAAAAATAATTTGGCAATTATTTGCCTAAATTACCTGTACTAAAAGTTTTAAAACCTTGACCAGCGATCCACATCTAGGAATCCAGCCTACAGCCAGAATCCAAAATACAGAAAAAGCTTAATGCGCAAGGATTTTGATTACAACGTTATTTACAACGATGAAAACCTACAAGTCTCTTACCTGTCAACCACTACAGAAGTGGTTACATCACTCTTATCTGAACCTCTCTGTGTACTGTTTATTAGGCAGCACTGAAAACTGGCATTCCCAGAGCCTTTACAGTGACACGGAGAATGACGTTGACCCAGCGCTGGGAGAACCAAGCAGGCAGGGATGGGCACGCAGCACCATGACAGCCCTGCAAAAACATTCCAGATGCAAGTGTCAGGAGGCAAATTGCCACATAAGAACCCCTGGGACAAATATGATACAATCAGTGTCACCAATCATTTTAACCCACCTAGAATGTATGTCAATTGGATGTTAATATGAAATTCTTTTTTAATAAATTGGATAGAGGTCTAACTTTTTTTTTTTTTTTAAAGATTTTATTTATTTATTTATTTTCCCCCCAAAGCCCCAGTAGATAGTTGTATGTCACAGCTGCACATCCTTCTAGTTGCTGCATGTGGGACCCAGCCTCAGCATGGCGGGAGAAGCGGTGCTTCGGTGCGCGCCCGGGATCCGAACCCGGGTCCCCAGCAGCGGAGCGCGCGCACTTAACCGCTAAGCCACGGGGCCGGCCCGAGGTCTAACTTTATTTTCTTCCCACCGGATAGGCAGGGGTGCCATCACCATTTATTATTTAATCAACCTTTTTCTCAGTGAATGGAAATACCACAGAGTATAGGTTCCATTTATAGCAGAAAAGGGGGAAATTTACATTTAACACGATAAAATTAAAGTTTATATTCTGTTGAAACTCAAAAACCTGAAAAATAAATGTTGACCATCTTTGATTCTGGGCAGAAGGACTAAGGGGCTTTATTGCTCAAAGTGTGGTGGCCTCGGCGTCATCTGCGAGCTGTTAGAAATGCAGAATCTCAGGACCAGAATCTGCATCCTCACGGGGTGGGACAGCGTAGTGTGACTGGTGGAGAACAAGGTTTGGAGTCGGTCTTTATTTGGGCTTTGGACACAGGCCTTGAGTTTGAACATAGACCCGTCACTTGCTGGCAGGGCCCCCTTGGAAAAGGCATGTCACCTTCAGCTTCCTCATCTCTAAGGGGGGGTATCAATATCTACTTTGCAGGTTGTTATGAAGGTGGCAGAGGACAGGGGACGCCTGGCACACAGTAGGTACTCTGTAGGTGTTAGGGACCTTTCCAGGTGTCCTGCTCTTTCAACATCTATGGGAGGGCCAGCTCATTACAGGCCCCAGATCTGCCCATTGGCAAAGCATACTAGAGTTTGCTGCCTGAAATCTCGGCTCTTAGGTGAATCTTTGAAAGAGATTTGGCAACTCTTTTTTTACTATAGAACTTTTCATTTCGAGATCATTGTAGTTTCACATGCAGTTGTAGGAAATAATGGAGATTCGTGTACCCTTACACGGATCCCTTACACGGATCTCTATTATTACCCTTTACCCAGTTTCCCCAATAGTAACATCTTTCAAAACAAAAGTAAATATCACAACCAGATACTGACATGGACACAATCCACTGCTCCTATGCAGCTTTCCCGGTGTTACTGTACTCGTGTGTGTGT